GAATCGACTGGATGTTGAAAAAGATCCGGCTGTCCGATTCTTGGCTTCGTTAATCGGTTCAGTTGGCTGAACGATTGAGACGGTAGTAGCGGTCGACGTTCCCTTAGGAATGGACTTCTTGAAGTTAATGTTCTTCAAGAGATCGCTATCGACGAGCTTGTCGACTGGTTTGTTGCTCTTAAACGGATCGGAGGTCGTAGAGGACTTTTTTAAACCTGGTGCGATTGAAGACGGTGGTTTAGGCTTATCTGACTTCGTTGCTTCGTCTGAGCTCGTGTCCCACTCGGACGGCACAATTTCTGGGCTGATCGGCTTCTTCGCTTTTTTCTTTGGGATTTTCGTGCTAGACCTCTTGGGAGCTGTTATCGATTGAGCTGCGCTGGTCTGTTCTGCGGTCGATGCTTGCTTTGCCTTAGAATCCTTGGTGGTAGAAACGTTTGAAGGAGTAGACACTTGCAGGAAAAGATGATAGTAAGAAATTGATCTGAAATGCTAAATCAAATCCAGTCTGAAAAAAAACTACTGACTGATCAAATAGCAGTCCCTTTTTGTAGACGTCGCACTACTCTTGAGTACTTGATAGAACTAACAAAAAACCAAAAGCGGGCCAGATGGAAAAAAAAAACGTCAGTTGTGAGATTTATGATCAACTTCAACTGAAAGAAAACAGCCGATCAAATTTTCTAGAACTGACTGTTTATCGATAGGCTTAACCCACTAAGGGAAACGGAGTCGATGACGGTGTAGTTTCTGTCGCAACTAAACAAAGGTCGAAATGAGTAGAGATGTTAGTCCGAGTCTTCAAAAATGTCTCAACGATGCGGACGAAAATAAAGGAGGTTGCTAGCTGTTATCGTCAACAATTATCCGAAATGACTGCTGATGCAACACGAGTACTGATGGGACTTATTCCAAAAGGAACAGTGTTGAAGAAAAAGTCCAATACTAAAGGCGGTTGGAATGGTGGTCTTTGGGAAGAAAAAACGGCCAGACCCCCAATTGTCAGCGCCGGTCTCTAGAGTGACTAGGCGTTGATGGGGTGGCAAGGGTCTTACTATAACTTTCGAGTGAAAGCCAGTAGAACTAGAACCTCACCTCGACGCTAGTAAGCGGAGGGGTTAAGCACCCTTAGTAAGGGGACGTACGCGGTATGAGCGTCGCGTCGCCGGGCTTAGAGCTAAGTAGTCTCTCTTCTAGGCTACTGTAGTGACTTTACAGTAGTCTAGGAAGGTTGGTACGGAATAGAAGATAAAGGGGAAGGTTTTTTAGAAGGTTATAGTAGTAGATTGTAAACCCCACTCACAGTTTGTATTGTAAGGTGGACGGGTTTGTATGGTAATCTCTGGGGGGAGGATTCTTGGGAAGAAGACCTCCCCCTTAAGTATTACAAAGGCAGGGGTCAGCCTGCCTGTGAGACCGGTGAGGCCTGCAGAGGATCATTTATGTATATAATCATAAATGATCAAAATATGCATTTAAATTAAGTTTTAAACCAAAAGTGGAGGGAATGATGTCATTCAAGCTCAAAGGAGAAAGAATGATGTCATCTCTCTAATTACAGAGTATAGAGAGATGATTAAGATTTCAAATTGTATGTATATAAAATATGAATATTAATACAGAGGTGAATACTTAAGTAATTCCGTGGAATTACTTAAAGCATAAAAGTATAAAAAATAAAATAATAAAAATATAAGATTACATAATTGGGATTTGAACCCAAGTGTGTTGGTGAGGCAAAGTCATAACACAGTCCTTAACCGAGGTATTTTTGACTCCAATCTAGAAGTTGGATGCAGTGAGAGTTCCAAGTCAACCAAACCCTGCAGTGACTTTATGCCAGATTGCAGTACACTGATTCAAGGACTTCTCTGGGAAAGTTGTTCTTGGTGCAGATATCGATTAAGAGGTCTTGACCATGAGGGTTCTCAATATTTGTTTGCTGGTCTGAGTTCAAGAATCAAATTAGCAATAGATCTACTCAGAAAGTAACAACCACAGTTCAGCAAGCTGACCTCTGTGCAACAGTTTTGAGATTATATCCAAACATTTAAATTTTTCAACAGCCCACTTGATCGCCTGCCTAGCCTCTCGGGAAATCCTGTGCAGCTCGTCGTTGCAGTGTGTAGACATCAGAATGGCTTCAATTCCTTCCTTTATGGTTGAATTGATGGCCCACGGTTCGTTTGGGTGTGATAAGGACCCCATATTCCAGAATGGATCATCCAAGCCCATTGATCTGACGTCTTCAAAAACGGGTGTGGCCACCGAGATGTTGGTGCTATGGTTTTCATTGTAATTCAAGGCTTTTTGGTTGTACGAGGTCCACTTGCTCTTCAGATGCTTCATCTTGGAGCTCATCAGTTTTTTGAACCTTGCTTGCATTCGTGTTCCTGATAAATTATTGGTGGATTTTAGATGATTTGTGAATTTCAAATGTGACACAGAGAAAAAGCTTACCTGATCCCCTTTGATCCCATCTCCTCTGAACTTCACAAACTCCAACTTTGGCCTCGTAAAGCTTAGACTTGCTTATTTTCAGTCTGATCAATGCTTTACTCTGAGCATCTAAGAGTCAAATACTCAATTGTTTTTGGGTTAGTGATTATATGTGGTGTGAATTTCTCAGAGTCTGACTCACCTGAGGCACCAGGCAGATTCCGAAAGGCTTCTGAACCGAGTTCATCCACCAATATTTCTATCTGTTCTTCTAATGATGTAACAGTGTTGGGAAGCAGTTCCAGTCTCTCTTGTTCTTCCTGGGTTCTTGTTCGTCTACGCTTGGCCCGGAGTAACTCAATCTCATCCCTGGATTAAATTCAGACATGTAAAATCATTATCTTCCTGTCATTACCAGTTCAAATTGAAAACAGAATGCTTACTGTGCATCTTGTAATTCATCTTCCAAATTAACCAGATCTCCTACAAGTTTAATCATTTCGCGTTCTGATTCTGTCTCCATCGCTTCCAGCTGACATTGCCTCTGACGGAGCCACTGTTCCGTCAAGTACTCAATTGTGAAATTGTGTTTCTCCCGAATTTCAGTCAACTTATTCATGGATTCAACTAAAAGTTTTTCAACATGTAGACCTCTGTCCAAAAGCCGCTTGACTAGCATAATTGATTATTCAAATCAGAATGGTAATTTTCTATATTTGGCTTGGATCAGATTCAAATGAGAAACATACCTGAACGAGTCTTTCCTACTTCATTGTGATGGGAAGATCTCATGTCTAATGCAGTGATTCGATGCTTCTTGCTTGAATATCTTAAAGGACTAATTAAAGGGGACAAATATGCCCATATTCTTTCCAGTCCCTCCCCATCAGACATACCCCATCCATCGTTTAGCCGAGGGTTGTACCGTAGTTGACATGTCCATTGATGTACATAGGCGTGAAAAACACTCGTTCCAAACATCAACAAGTTAGAGTTGCGCTGTTCACTAAATAAATCTCTCTATAATTTGCCATATTAGTGTTCAAATTGTATGATCAGAAAAGGGGGCTTTGTACCTTTATGATTCCTTTTTCAATATTACATCCTATGTCATACAAGAATCCAAGTTTTTTCTTAGTTGGTCCATTGTCGGTTGATTTTATGAGATTTTGTATCATTGACATTGGGTAATAGGCCCTAAATTTGGCCAGGGGATGATTAGTCATTTCAATGCATGGTTTTTATGTGTAGTACAATCAACTTTATACTTTTCTCCACTTTGCACTATGTTAATCAGCCTCAGAATTTGGTCATGCCTACATGCCAAACCAAATATTCCGGTATCATCACAAGCTTTCCATGTGGTCGACCCTCGTGAATCGTTGGCAGCAGTATGTTGCTCTGTACAGCGATCCTACAATACACAATGTTCAGTGCCAAGGCAACTTGATTCACCTGAAGACTTGCAGGTTACCATACTCACCAGGTCGGGGTGCTCTTCAGCTTCATTTATTTGTATGTTCATACATGTTTCCATATCCTCGACTTCCTCAGGAGATATGAACAGGCTGGTCTGGTTTGAAAATTCCGATAGCTCATGGCTTGCAGCCAGGTGTCGTCGATGTTGAAAGTTCCCGTCCATACAGACAATGTAATCCGGCTCTTCAGGTTTTTTTCCAGTGACAGGAGGCCCAAAGCACTTCGGGCATATTTCCGCCAACTTATCCATGGGTCCCATTTCCATAAGCTCTTCAGATACGACTTTTTCTCGTCTCAACATCTCCCTATACGCATCCACTGAAGCTGAGAGGGTTTTCCTCCATTCACGCACCTGTGTTTTCCAAGAAAAAATCATCATTGGATTAATGTAGATGAAGTACTAACAGCTTTCATCCGACTCACAGTGTATAATGGTCCTGATTCCGATGCAGTCTGAGATACAAGAACTAAGGGATTATTGGAATCCAGAAACTCATCTATTGCCTTGGAAAATGGGGTTATTGACACAGCACAGTTTTTCCAGATTATGTCATGGAAACAAAGGAGTCGGATAGAGAAAGCGGTTCTGGGATACTTTGGGGATGTTCCGATGTAACCCATTTGTATGAGGCGGACCTGGTCTCCCTGGCAGCTACAGAATTCAACCTCGGTTTCTCTTCGGCCTATAAAAGATCACACCTCATATGAGAATTTATTCTGATGGTTTGAGTATGAAATCAACAAGATGAACACATACTCATAATGTCAACCAAGACAAGGGGCCGAAAGCGCTTATCCTGACAGAGACAAGGCTCCTTCCAGTCGTGTCTCCATTTTTCTTCGTCACCCCAGTCAGCGGTTTTTACTGCACATTGTTTGAAAGATGAAAACATTGCATCATACACCTCCGCCCAGTTCTTCTCTTCAAGTAGTTTTTTCCTCTTGTAATGCTCGCTCCGAAAGTAATCAGTTAGCTGCTGAATACGTGTGTCTGAGTGAGTAGTGTTGTCTGAATTGGTGAAATTGGTGTCATTTCCGGTGTAATCAGTGAAATGGTGGTCGTATGGATTGGAGTGATCTTGGTCAAAGTTGTCAAAGCGAGATCGGTCTGGGATGTGGTGGTCCAGATGGATTGTTGTTGCCTCCCTGCAAGTCGATAGTTGTTCTAGCTCCACTGCTTGTGAAAATGCGACCCCGGACGCTGTAGTCGGTTTCCGTTTTTGTTTGGGTTTTTTGCCTCCGCCCCCCTCAAACGGTGGCATCCTGGAGAAAAGAGAATGCTGTGTGTCAGTTTATGAATTTTGAGTCAGTCTGGATGAAGTGAAATAATGTTTCAGCTTAGCTGTGTTGTATGAGTAAAAAAAATGACATGCCAGCTGAACCGAGGATCCATGGCCGGTTTGACTCTCCACCAAGCATTTGCTTGACAGCATCTCCACCGCGGTCCAAAAAACGCTGCCCAGGGTGGTCCTGAACCACACTGGCTTAAGCCATAGATTTACTCAGATTTAAACACATAATCTCAGCCCCCTTATTTCTGTCATGAGGTGTTCTCAGGCCATGAACTTAAAGATTTTGTTTCTGCATACTACAAGACCATTATCACCCACACATCAAGATTACCGCCATGCCCACCCAAGCATACAGTACCACATTGAAACCTCTGGGAACTCAGTGATCCAAGGAAGAAACTGATCAGTTATGGATATTTTTTCAGCCATGCCCACCCAATCATACAGTACCACATTGAAACCTCTGGGAACTCAGTGATCCAAGGAAGAAACTGATCAGTTATGGATATTTTTTCATAGTCACTCATGACATCCAAAGTAAATATTGGGATTTGTGGTTGGATTTTTGTCAGTCTAACCAAAGTGATTGACTAGTTGGTTACAATATATGCATAAATTCCAAGAATTTGGCCAAAGTAATGCTTTAAAAGTGGATTCTTATCAATCCACCCATTAGTATGTTCACTTGTACATATTACACCCTGCAGGTCCTTCAAAAAATTACTCCTAGCCAACCATCTTTTTTCTGCTTTGAGTGCCTCCCAGCCAGGAGAAAAGGGCTGAGATCCACCACAGAACTGAATGTGGATGCTTGCATTGGAAATTCAAGGTTAAATTGGAATACAGCAACCAGGGCTCAATATATCCCAAACAGCCAGGTGGGAAGGACTGGAATTCACCACGGCCAAAAATGGGAGATCTTGTGATTGTATCTTGGACAAATAAAAATTGAAACATCTACACCAGGTGACCATGTCTCCCAAATTGCTTGTTTCTTCTCCCAGTCAAATTCCCAACTCAGCTGCTCCACCGCATGAGCAGACCTGTACATCAACACATGGCCATGTAAAATTGTTTAGGAAACTTTTCTTTGATGTTCTGACATTACATATGAAGGCATAAGCACTTATGCAACCATTTATTTGACATCATTTTTAATGAACTCACATGCATTTGTGGCTCAAATTCCAATTATAAATTGTTAACATCATACAGGATCAGGTTGGTTTATGTTCTCTCAAATGAGTCTCCATAAGCTTACTACTACTATGTCATCAAGTAATCAGAGATTGTTGGGTCATTGTGATCAATGATTCATTAAATGTGGTGTGGGATAAAAATATTGAGGCCAAAATTGTCTTTGGAAATATCTGATTCACACTTACCACAAGCATTAAATGGAGATAATTGTTTGATTCTAAGGGAAACTTTTTTATCATATTGGACATGGCAAAAGTCAACACAAGGAAGTATGTAAGCACATGTAGCCCTACGTGTTCACCAAGACTTGAGAAACTCATCACTGCTTTGGAACTGTTCCATTCCCAACACATCCCCACACTGACATATAATATACTTACAATAACTGACATGTCTCCAGGTATGTTGACTTTTTGGGTAAGGGTCCCAAGGCATATGTTATTTTTCCACAAAAATGTAAGTTTTTGAATCACTTCACTGAAAGAGTCCCATCAGTCAAGTGATTATCAAAAAGTCAACAAGGGTAGTAAATTGGCAAACAAGCAAAACCCAATTGACATCAATCTGTAGTGCAAGAGGGAATAAGTCAAAATTCAGTATGTGAATCAATTGGATCAGAAATGTACACCAGAAGTCTTGGACTTCTGTGGGACATTTCAGTTCTAATCACCTGGACTGGTTCTAAGTTGTGCAAAATTTATTTGGGTTATAATTTCCCCTCTGATTCACATGGGTGCCAATTGAATTAGCACACAAAGAATTATAAGATAATTCTGGAATAACCACTGTGATTTCTAATTTGTATGAAATTCTTGCTCCCTGTGCCACAAGGGGCCTTCCTCAACCCAGCATGACCTATGTGAATCACCTGCCACCTTTGGTTCTCATTAGGACAAAACAAGAAGAAGGCATTGGGCCTTCTGTATCCTATTGCCTTAGTTTATCCACATTCTCAAGGCTGATTGTAACTTGATCTCGATCTTTGAATTCTGGAATAACCACTGTGATTTCTAATTTGTATGAAATTTTTGCTCCCTGTGCCACAAGGGGCCTTCCTCAACCCAGCATGACCTATGTGAATCACCTGCCACCTTTGGTTCTCATTAGGACAAAACAAGAAGAAGGCATTGGGCCTTCTGTATCCTATTGCCTTAGTTTATCCACATTCTCAAGGCCGATTGTAACTTGATCTTGATCTTTGTTTTGTTGTAGGGACCGGATTTTGGTCAAACGGGGCAAGACCTGAATGCCAACAATAGAAAAACTATTTACAAGCACGATCAATGTCCTCAAAACTGAAATCTCTCTCCTCTGTGAACCCCACACAACAGGACTACAAATCCCAGAAAGCAAAAGGCCCGACGCCCCCACGTCCCGCTCCTCCTCATACAAAAACAGACGCTTCCCACCGTTCAATCGTCCCCCCTCGTCTGCGTTACCCTCAGCATTTCCTCCCGTGTCGGAAAGTCTTGGAGCTCCAAACTAACGTCTCCTTTCACTGAGAAAAAACGAAGCTTGTAGCGGCCCCCTACTTTTCCTATCTTCGCTTCTGCAACACAGTCATATGTTTTTCAACAATCTTCTACTCTCTGAACTCCCTTGCTCTTTCTTCGACAAATCAGAATCGCACTTATTTTGATTCAGTATGCAAATAAACCATCAAGGTACCCCAGATTTTGGGAGACAATGAGAAATGAGTATCTGTGTCAGGAGATCAGCAGCCGATCTTTATACCAAAACCACTAGTTGGTCGCAGTGCATTGCCTATTGTAAACATTGATTATGAATAGTTAAAAGATAAACAAAATACAACAGTCGGCACACTTTTTTGTTTTGTTTTGTTGAGATACAGATGTGGGAAAAAGTTTGGGTGGTGGATTGGAAGGATAGAGGGCAGATGATTGAGATCGATGTTGAAGAAGAATCCATGATGATCAAGGGTTGTAGCCGGTTGAGGACAGATTATCTCTTGAGGGTCGGACGAATGGGGCCGTCGAGATCGGGAGGGAATAGGAGATCATGTTGGTCCGGTTCTAGAGGGCGGCGTCTCGGGGCGGGGTCGGAGGGGGAGGAGGAGGGGGCGGAGGGCCGCGGTCTGGGATCGATCAAGGCGCGGGCCTCGGATGGGCTGACGAGGAGACTGGGGAAGCTCTGGTGGTGGTGGCTCAGGACGAGCTGAGTGAGGGTCTCGTCGAAGAAGAACAGACTGTCGCGGGGATCGGGACTCGTGGCCTTGGCATGCTTCTTCCGCGCCGGCTCGCCATTCTCATGGTCTTCCAGGAGGGCCGCCGGGCCAAACAGCTTGCGGTAAAAGGAGGAGGAGGATCAGTCTAAGCCAGGACTCGAGGAGCCCGACGAGTCTCCGCCGCTGGAGAGGGCCGATGTTGAGGGGGAGATCGACGAGGACTGCTGTTCTATCTTGGCTGCGCTCTGCTCCTTGTAGATCCCTGCTCGTTCCTCTGCGGTCTCGGGCGGTTGGACAGTCTGATTAGTTGTTCTAGGGTCTCGGGTTCCTGGTGGTGGTTGTTCTTCTGGATGGGCTAGTGGTGCGGTTAATTTGTTCTTGTTCGAATTCCGGCGACGTTTCCGACAATCCATCATGATGATCCTGCAGGGCGTCAGTTCCTCTCCAACATCGATCAATCAATCCTGCAGTAAAAAAAAACACAGTCAACAAAGTAGGTTAGTGATCGGCTCATAGTTGGGTTTATTGACGACGATTCCCCAGAACATCAGATCGATCACATCAGAACTCGGCTGGCTAGTTGAGCTGAGGTAGGAATCCAACATCTTCCGTAGCACGTAACGTTTGCCGAAGTCCTGCAGGAAGCTGGAGACTGTCTGAGAGCGGAGGACGGTTGTTGAGAGAGAGGTGTTGTCGGGGATGATCTCGCTCCACCAGGCGGCCTCTTGACTGTCCATACTACTACCACTCCTAGTACTACAGTGATCGGGGACACCGATTGGGAAGATAACTCGGTCAAGGGTGATGATAATGGACAAGAAGAGAAATGGACAGATCGATTCGGGATGGCCGAGTCAAACCCGGGTTGATCTTCTTCCTCTTGTTGAAGATGGCAGTGGGATGCCGGCAGAGATTCGGTTGGAGAACGGCTGGGCTGGGAAGATAATTCGGTCAAGGGGGATGAACCGGGCCAAGAACTAGAACAGTGGACAGATCGAGTGGTGATAGCCGAATGATGAGCTACTTCAGACCCGGCGGGGGAGTGGGTTGAACTTGACTGATCCGCTCGAGCTGAGCAATCTGCAGGCTCGTCCTGCGAGACTTGTGGTTGGTTTAATGGAGTAGTGGCGGGTCAACAGGGGGAATTGATGGAGTAGATTATAACAAGTCGGCAGGAGTGGGAAGGATGCACAACACTCAAGCCAAAGTTCAGCGTCGGATTTCCGCAGAAAAGCTGGCCGAGATCGACATTGATGAGCCGGAGGTTCTTCTGCTGGATGAGTTGGAGGAACCAGTCGATCAAGGCCCTGTGCCCAGATTTTCCAGAGCTGCTGGTGGCCGTCTTCGGTGGGTGGATGGGGGTAAGACCAACTACGTCTTGCAAGGGGGGGATTGGGGAGGAGCAAGTGTGGATATGGGGTGCGAGACACCCCACGCCCCCCCCCCACACCCAACCACCCACAACTCAAAGAACCCCAATCAATCGGACCTTCGACCTCAAGTACCCACTTGGATACTGACACCGATCAAATTGAACTAGTTACGGCCTAAACTTGAGCCCCCCCATTGTCCTTATAACTCAAACAACCAGGGCAACTCAACAACCACCCATCTCGCTACCGACTTGACTCACAACTCAAACAACCCAACACCCCGACACCGCCTCCGATTCCTTTGAACACTGCGACTCGCACACCTCAAACAACCAGGCCAACAGAAGATCGGATTGCCTTGAACACCCGATTCGGCTGAACTGTGAGCCTTCTCATCCATCATCTCTGCCTGTAAATCATTGGCTGACCATGTTTCTTCTGTCAGCCCAAGACCCCCCCCCCCCTAGTGCCCCCATTGACACGAACGAACCACCGAACCGCCGTGACTCACCCAGAATATCAAGTAATTTATCCACAACACCCCTGCTGTGTGATCTTGCTGTCGGCACTGCCTCCAATTGCTCTGGACGCCCGACTTGACCTAACCAATCAAACACCCCTGTGAGTCTCCTCACCCATCATCTCTGGTGCCCACTTGGAAGCCACTAGGCTACCAAGTGGGCATGTCCCAGTAGTTGTTCAGCTGGCTGACAAATATTTCTTCTGTCAGCCCAAGAGCCAAACCTCCAGTGCCTAGAGCAAGTCAAACAACCAAGCCGACCTCCCCATAGCATTACTGGCAAGTAATAAACTCATTTAATTCATGTTTGTTCCTGTTCCCCATCCCCCAAAGACTTCATATCCCTAGATGGTGCTGTGGGAACGGGGATTTCGCGTACAGTAGAATCCCCTTTCCCATTGTGGGGTAACTTGGTCTTTGGCGTACAGTCAAGGTTAAGTTATTCCTACCAATCCAGGGATTGAATGGAGTGCGGTTGTGGGGTATATTGAAGTGACATGACTAACTGAAACCTGTTTAATTCTTCAACACCCCCTCAGCTTTCAGAATGCCCATTGCAGGAAATAAGTACACTGACAACGATGTCAAGACACTGGTGCGCCAAACAAACCGATGGCTACTCAGGCTACACGAAAACTCCTTGCGGGAGGTGGTGGACTTCGACATATTGGCTGTCTTTATTATGCAGGAGATGGATGATGATCTTCACATCCGTAAACTGGTTGACATGCTGATTCATACCTTTTTTGACTCCGGAAAGCCACAAACCACTCGTCAAAACCAGCTTTTGGAAGCTGCTCTGGTGGTCCAGAATAAAATCCGAATGTATGATGATAAGATTAAATCACAACCAACTTTTGGGAAACCGTACTGTCTAAGGTATCCAACTCTGGAGGACGTTCGGGCCCAATCAAAGCTCTTGGAGAAACAATGTCGGGTTTTGGATGATTCCAGGATGGTGGTCTTACTGGACGAGAATGAAATATGTGTTGGTATTGGTCTACCTCCCCTACCAGTGTCTGGAGGGAATCCAGTTCACACCCCCCACGATGTAGGTGAGCATTTTACCTCTTTGGCATCATGTTGGATTACTAATGTGATGTATTTTGTTCAAGAAACGGGCATTGGCATGTTTAAAAGAGATGGTTAATAATCAAGTTTGCAAATTGCATGTTGGCCAACACCCACCTACGTTTCTTTCCACCCCTCCAGATGGACCACCCCAAACACCTTTTCCCCTCGACGAAAAGACAAAAGGAAATATTCGAACTCCAGAGGGAAGTATAGAGGCCAGCGTCAGCTATCAAGCATATGGTTTTGGCTTGGGTTCGGTGAGTTGTTTTAATATTTGAATCTTAAATTGGGTGAATTTAGATTAAATCTGATGTTCATTTGTTCTAGAAAAAATCTGCTGGCATGCTCGATAAAAAAATCCAATGCACAACCAAATCCATCAAAACTTGGCTACTCCAGGGCTATGGATCTACTTGGCAAGATGAAGAAAATATCCTCCATCTGCCCAACCCACTCCGTGAATGCCAAAACACTGATGATAGTGATGCTATTGTTAAGTTAAGGAATGAGATGACATTTTATTCTAAATTGTCGCTGGTCATCAATACTGCTTTCTTACCTGTATCTACTAAGGTGGCACAAGAGGCTGTAGATTACTTGAAAGAGCAGGGTAGTGATCGACTTCAAGAAAATCTTGACTTAGAGAAAAATGAAATAGTGGCTTGTAAGTATCTTCTTTATTTATTTTGTTTGTTCTTTCTTTCTGGTAACTAATCAAAAATATCTTCTTTTTCACCCAGCACGAACTGTCAGTGTTAATACACAGGTTCATACCCATCGAGACAGGAATAACGCATTTTTGTTCGATTCTGTTTACTTCTTTGGTAACCATCGTGGAGGAGAATTTCTTTTGCCATCTCTTGGTGTTGCCTATACTGGTCTCCACGGATACTCGTTTCATGGTCCATTTCGAATACTCTACCATGGTGTTGCAAAGTTCTATTTTGATGAAGCTTTGGAGGCCCCACCACAAAGATTTTCGGTTGCCATGTGGAGTCGTGAAAGTTCATTCTCTGCTATTGCCAGGCATTCAGCATATCATGAAAAGGAGAACAAAGTAAGTTTCTTGTGCTCCATAAATTCAAATTAAAGCATTGATTTACAGTAATTCTTCTTTAGGTTAAAGTTTACAGCAAATCGAAATATTGGCTCCCCCTTTATCCCAAATATGATAAGTACTCTGTCCAGGAATGCTTTTCAAATCATATCAAAAAATCACGTGTCGGATGAAGAGTGTTTCTTGTCTTGATTTTTTTTTGAACTCTCCCAATCTAATTACATCTTGAATGCTTCAGAAATGTTTTTCTCATAAATTCTCCCAATTGAATTACTTCTTGAATGCTTGCTCCGGATTGATTTTATAATTAATGAGCAATTAATATAGTTTGAATTTTTTTTGAATACTTTGGTAATCTGTTGGTTGTCTGGCACTACAGTTTCCACTTTAACTCACAGGAAAAAAGGTTTCAATTTCTGAAGTTAGTGTAATCTCAAGTTCCGGTGGCAGAGAAGTAAAACTGAATTTATGGTGTTGCCATTGGAGAGGAAAGACATTTTTGAGTGGCAGAACAAATGGATAAAAAATTGAACAGTCTCACTATTATTGTTTGAGTACATTTAAAAGTGTTTAACTACTTTGAACTATTTCAATTTTAAAGTGACCGCTTTCAATATCAGCCATCCATTTCTCCTTATCTAATTTTTGCATCTTTTCAAAACCAAGCAGAAGTGCATCTTTGCTCAGTCTTGAGCCTTCTGACTGGACTATTCTTAATTCGGAATCCTTTTCTAAAATGGATTTAGCTGGGTCAGCATTTTTCGGAAAGGTTGCTTTGGGAAGTCTGAGGGCATTGGCTGTATGTTGATTATTGTGTTAGTTCCTATTACCTCCATGCAAGTTGCATAGGAAAAGCTCACCCAAGAGTCGATTCAGTGCAGCCCTGAGTTTTTTTTTCAAGGTATCGCCCTCTCTGAGTGGCTTTGATGAAGCTGGCCCTCCTTCGATATCTTCCAAGCTGGCCTGTATTTGTCGTCCATGACTATAAGCTTCAAATGTTTCTTTGGAGTTCCATCGTTTTTCGGCAAGTGCAAGCCAGGCGGGATCGTTGGAGTACTCTTTGCAGAAGCTGTTGATTCCAGGGGCTCGCGTTGCAGATAGAAGGTAATAAGTGGTGTTGTACATGTTCGAAGTAGTGTACAGCTATTTTTTTAATTTTAACAGTCAGTTAGTGGGATTTAATAAGGAAATATGGTTCTTCATAAGTAACCCACCTCGGAATTGAGCTTTAAAACATTTTTTAAAGCTTTCTTGTATACCTCGCCAGTGTTTTGACCCTCGCTTTCAGGTCGGTTTGCAGTAAATGCTTTGACTTTTTCATGGTTTACCAAAGACTGGTACAGTGGTTCGTAAAGACCGATTTCTTCCGGAGTCAACTGGCCTGATGTGTCATCATCGTCCTCTTCATCATCATATCCACATGGTATTTTCGAAAAGTGTTGGAATACCCTGGAGCCAAAGACCTCCTTCTCGTCATCTGTTAGCAAATCCCAAGCTTTACCCATCTGAATGTTCCTTTCATCCCAGCCTTCCGAAGTACCCTTGGGTGGAACTAAAGAATGTAGCTTTAGTGGATGAAATCAAGAATTATGCAGTTGATTGAAGAAAATACTGACCAGGATGCTTCAGACTTTCAAGGCTGAAGGCAACATACCGGTTCCAACCGCATTTCTTTCGAGGAGGCTTGTTCTCTCCACTAAAAAACAACATGAAGGGCTGATGAGTTTCAAAGCTTTATTTACATGAAAATAGAAAGAACAAGTGAGACCTACAGGTATTTGTTGACAGTTTTTTCACCGATATTTCCAATGAGTGCAAGCATAAGTTTGCTCTTGAGATAGTTTTGTTGAAGCAATTGCAAGGCTTCTTGCACATCGACTGGAACGCGATTGGAGAGGTTTTTCTTCTGCTGCAAGGTTTTTCGAAGTTGGTTTGCTGACCAAGAGGACAATTTAGTTTGAAAGTTTTCCAAGGTAAATCCAATCAAAGGTGATCCAGAGTCTGAGTCAGAGGAGGAGGAGGAGTTGGAGGTGGAGTCAGAGCTCTCTGGGTCAGGATTGTTTTGTGCTCCTTGAGTTTGGGTTGGGCTCGGAGATCGATGGCCTTGGGAGCTAGAATTGCTAGTTTGTTGCTTTTTGGACTTGGAGGATTTCTTTTTGGATAATGTTGACTTGGCAGCTGCTTTCTTGGTGCGAGTGGTGGGTGGCTGTTTTCCTTGTTTATTGAAGGCTGAGATTGATGATTGAAAGCGGTTGGGTGTCTTTCTTTTGGCTTGGGATGATCGAGTTGAGGCCATTTTGAGGTTGTTGAGTGGGGTGAGTTGAAATGGAAGGGGTGTTTGGAGCTGTTTTGAGCTTAGAAGTTTGGTTGGGGGATGGGTGGAGCTGGCTTGAGTCGAGGTGGTATGAAACTGGGGGTTGACTGGGGATGGTTGGGGCTGGCTTGGTTTGAAGAGGTAGCTGTTTTTCAAGGGTTAGGTTTCAACTTGGCTGTGGACCTCCAGTGTGAAAGCTGGGTTAGCTGAATTAAGCTGGCAGCGCATCTCAGCTGGCAGTGCATCTCAGCTGCAGCTGGATTGAGCTGGGAGGTCACCTCAGCTGTAGCTGGATTGAGCTGGCAGCTCACCCCAGCTGCAGCTTGATTGAGCTGGCAGCTCACCTCAGTTGTAGCTGGATTGAGCTGGGGGCCAATCTGAGCTGCAGCTGCATTGAGCTGGCCGCTCATCTCAGCTGGAGCTGGATTAAGCTGTGATTTTCATTCATGTGTGAAGTGGAGCTGGATTGAGCTGTTTTCATTCACAGTGTGAAGTGCAGCTGGATTGAGCTTAAATTTTGATTCACAGTGTGTAGTGGATCTGGATTGAGCTGGCGGCTCACATCAGCTGGAGCTGGATTGAGCTGTGATTTTCATCCACAGTGTGTAGTGGAGCTGGAATCAGCTGGCAGCTCATTCCAGCTGGAGCTGGATTGGGCTGTGATTTTCATTCACAGTGTGTAGTGGATCTGAGTTGAGCTGGCTGCTCAACTCAGCTGGAGCTGGATTGAGCTGAATTTTCTATTCACAGTGTGTAGTGGAGCTCAGTTGAGCTGGCAACTCAAATCAGCTGGAGCTGGACTGAGCTGAATGTTTTATTCACAGTGTGTAGTGGAGCTGAGTTGAGCTGGCAGCTCAACTCAGCTGGAGCTGGATTGAGCTTAAAGTTCCATTCACAATGGGTAGTGGAGCTGGATTGAGCTGGCAGCCCAACTCAGCTGGAGCTGGATTGAGCTTAATTTTCCATTCACAGTGTGTAGTGGAGCTGAGTTGAGCTGGCAGCTCAACTCAGCTGGAGCTGGATTGAGCTTAAAGTTGCATTCACAGTGGGTAGTGGAGCTGGATTGAGCTGGCAGCTCAACTCAGCTGGAGCTGGATTGAGCTGAATTTTTCATTCACAGTGTGTAGTGGAGCTGAGTTGAGCTGGCAGCTCAACTCAGCTGGAGCTGGATTGAGCTGAATTTTTCATTCACAGTGTGTAGTGGAGCTGAGTTGAGCTGGCAGCTCAACTCAGCTGGAGCTGGATTGAGCTTAAAGTTGCATTCACAGTGGGTAGTGGAGCTGGATTGAGCTGGCAGCTCAACTCAGCTGGAGCTGAGCTGGATTGAGTTTAAAGTTGCATTCACAGTGGGTAGTGGAGCTGGATTGAGCCATATTTTTCATTCACAGTATGTCAAGATGGATTGAGCTGGCAGCTCAACTCAGCTGGAGCTGGATTGAGCTGAATTTTTCATTCACAGTAAATTTTGTTGATGTAGAACTATTTCACAAAGAGAAAGAAAGTGTGATTGTGATTGTTTTTGGGTCAGTTGGGCTGAGCTGAGCTGGCTCAGGCTGGAATCCGGTTTCAAACCGAAGATGCTGTCACCTGGATCTTCGGTTTGGAACCGAGTTTTTGGATGTCCACAGGTGCTCCCAAGCCCCATAATCCCCAAATTTTGGAATTCAAACCCCCAAAACCTTTGACTGGTTTGAGAGTCACCTCCCAAAAAAATACAAAAAAGCAACCCCTGGTGAATTTAGGAGTAAATCCTCCAAAACCAACCAGGGTTTGGTGGTTGACAAAGCAAAAGACCCCCACAGATTCAGAAGCGGCCGGTAGGATTCTTGGCCGTCAAGGGTATACACTCTCAATGGCCAAGGGAAACCACCTTGGCTGCTGAGTGAGAGTACACTCTTGATGGCCAAGGGTGTACCTGTCAGCCATCAAGGGTATACGCTCTTGATGGCTGAGAGGAATCCTCTTGGCTTTCAAGGTTATACAATCTCAACGTCCAAGGAAATCCACTATACATCATTACAGACTGCCCAGTGGAGCAGAGCAAGTGTCCCAGTCCATATTTTAACTTGATAGGGACCAAAAAATACAGACTGAAATGGAGATGCTCCTCATACTTAGAAGCATGGACAAACACATGTTGTTTGATTATCAACAACATGATGAAACCTTTGAAACAATTGGACCATGAAATCATCAAACAAGAATGGCACCACCCACTAAAAACCCTTGAAGAGTTTCTAGAAGCATAAACCAAACATATGAATGAAGCAATTTCCTGGTTTAAACATAACACTAACCAGAATCATGTCTTATCTCAGGTCAACCACATAGCAGGACAAATGTCTACAATTATTCCTACAAAACTACATCTAATGGAATTTTTCAAGAACATCATTGCTATCATAAATTTAGACAGAATTTTCTACAAGAGAATAATCAATACTCCAGTGAGTAAACCACAGTTCACATTCAATGCCCAGATGAGCTCCCATGTTTTTTCAAGTTGTGTATGAAGGTGCACTCAATTTCTGAATCTATCAGTATTTTTGTCCACTGCTTGTGTGCTCTCAACAAGGAAACAATAACAGAAACCATTCCAATGCTTAGGAGTCTTTTCAATTCACCTGCTCATTTTTGAATTCCTCTTTAGCTTTAACATCCTCTTACTTTGTGCCTTCAGCATATGAACTGGCTTGTCATCCATCCAAAAACCTCTACAAGACTGTATTTCCCAACTTTTATTTTGGCCTTCCTTGGGGCTAACCAAGATCTCTTACTCCTAGCATATGCACAGGAATCAAGGCATTTCCCAATTTACAATGAAGTCTAATGGATCAACTTCCAGCAAATCAATTTTTCAATCATGACTTTGTTAACCATAATTATTCAAATGTTTCTATTTTTTGTGCATAAGGATTGCAAACAGGAAGGCTTGGGTCGCCTGTGGGCTGGCCTGCTAAGACATGTCATCTTAGCAGGCAGACCTGGACCCATTTGGCAGATGGGCTGCCCTCAGGATGTAAACGGGTCAGGTTCGGGCCCAAAAACAGTGCCCAAACCTGACCTGACACCTATGTTGGGTTGGGTTGGGTCGGGTCAAACTTGAATATATGCTTCCCAGACCTGAACCCGTCTTGGGACTTTTTGGGTTTGGGTCGGCAGTTTGCATGTCGGGTTCGGGCCAACCCAAGTGTTTTAGCCTTTGCAGAGCAACTATGACAAAAAATTACCTGCCCGACTATCAAAACACCTGCCCGAACCTGACCCGCTAAGCTTCTGGGTCGGGTTCGGGTCATGTGATTTTCCCACTAAGTCTGCCCAAACCCGACCCATGACCCGTCGGGGTCTCGGGTCGGCTTTCAGGTCAACCCGACCCATTTACACCCTGAGGCTGCCCACTGTCTTCCAGAACAGACGATTAAGCGCACAAGGAGGCAGGCTCAGGATTGGGAGGCCCTGTTGGAACCTGGTGCAATTG